CCACTGTCACCCAGGCTGGAGTGCAGTGGCACATTCTTAGCTCACTGCAACCTCCGCCTCCTAGGTTCAAGCAATTCTCTTGCGTCAGCCTCCAGAGTAGCTGGGACTATAGGCACGCATCACTACACCTGGCTAATTCTGTATTTTTAGTAGAGATGGGATTTCACCATGTTGGCCAGGCTGGTCTTGAGCTCCTGGTCTCAAGTGATCTGCCCACCTTGGCTTCCCAAAGTACTGGGATGAGTAGCGTGAGCCACCGCGGGTGGCCTAAATGAGTTCTTGAATTATTCTTTTCAGTGCCACTTTTTTTTTTTTTTGAGGTATAAAGAATTTTCTTTTTAATTTTATTTATTTTAAAAACTTTTGTTTTAGGTTCAGGGGTACATTTGGAGGTTTGTTACATGGGCAAACTGCATGCCACTTGGTGAACCGATTTTGCCACCCAGGTAATAAGCATCGTACCTGGCTGGTAGATTTCCCATCCTCATCCTGCTCCCCACTTCCACCTTCCAGCCCCCGGTGTCTGTTGTCCCCTCCCTGTGTCCGCCCTCTCTACCTTCCAGCGCCCGGTGTCTGTGGTTCCCCTTCTCTGTGTCCGCCCCCCTCCACCTTCCTGCGCCGGGTGTCTGTGGCTACCCCCACTGTGTCCATCCCTCGCTACCTTCCCGCGCCCGGTGTCTGTGGATCCCCCCCTCTCTGTGTCCGCCCCCTTCCCCCCTCCGGCACCGGTGTCTATGGTTCCCCCTCTGTCTGTGTCCGCCCCCCTCCACCCTCTGGCGCCCGGTGTCTGTGATTCCCCCTCTCTCTGTGGCTCCCCCTCTCTCTGTGGCTCCCCCTCTCTCTGTGTCCGCACCCTCCACCCTCCGGCACCGACGTCTCTTGCTCCCCGTCTCTATGTCCACGTGTCGCCAGTGTTTAGCTCCCGCATATAAGTGGGAACGTGGTGCTTGGCATGTAAGTGCACTTAGGAGAACGGCCTCTCCACCTCCATCCATGTTGCTGCAGGGGGCATGATATTCTTTTTCCTTTAATTTTAATTTTATTCTTTATGATTTATCCTAAGGCAGGTATGTGTAACTCAAAAAACCAGAGTTTTTTTGCTTTTGAGTAACAGTGGTAACAGTACCAGCCACAGTAGCAAGGATGAGAAAACCAATTCTTAGTTTCCAAGCCCGTTAATAATTGTTTCTATGGAAAGGAATAGGCAAAAGTAATGTTACTGTCTTTCCCCCATCAAATACTGCACAGGAGGGAAAGGGGGCATGGTGTTACTCAACTAAGTTATTGCAACAGTCACAGCTTCTAAGGTGGCTGCATTAGCCAAGCACCACTGAGTTTTGTGGGG